TCAGATATGAGCTTTCAGATGAGTTATTTCGAATGCGAACAAAAAAGTTTTATCGAACGCGGTTATTTGTAAATATTAAGTTTATTATAGCGCCAGTCATCCTACGCAAATAGGGTTGCGTAGGTCATACAATTTGCGTTTGAGATTTGTTGATGGCCTGATCTTAAAAAAAACTGTAACACGTCAAGGTACATTTCCACTCCAACGCTGACGTACCGATTTTATCTCTAAGACATTGCATTTCGACATATTTACGGTGTAATGTAATGCACGACTGTGATCATCCTCTTTTTCTTTTGCAATTTTTACTTGCCCACGGTTCCTAAATCACATAGTCGTCGAGTCACTATCAAAAGCAAATCATCTAATCCATGGACCATACCAGTACTTCTTCTCAACACTCTTACCACGCTTATTTCGACAGTTCTATACGGATTGAGTGTATATGATTAGGTCCCAATGGTGTTTGAATCCTGCTACGTACTCTCAAAAATAAACAGTCGAGATTAAATGATGAAGCGGCTCAGTCAAACCGATAATTTCGGAGGTATGACTTGGAAGTGGGTTTGGTTCAGTCGGTCAGTATAAAATACACGCTTATCTCGTTTTGACTTGTTTCGAAGCTTGTGCCTAGCTTCACAAACGTTAACTGTCAAAGTCATCTTGTGGAATTTGTCGGGTAGGGTTGCTTATTAACAAACTCAACTGCAATCACAACTAGCAACCTCAAAATATTCTGAAGGAAACAATCAGAGGATTGGGATTATCCCCATTAACGTCTAGACGTATCCTGAAAAGTGACATTATGCCTAGTACCTTTTTGACATTACGTAGGTTTTTCTACAAGATGTCAACTTAGAACTAGCTTTTGTCCACTTGACGAGCACTCGTTCTGTAGCTGTACGAGTACCTGTTGTCTAAACGTCATAGCGCTTCAGCTATCAATGTTTGACTCTGACGCCTGCTTCAGAGATGGCATTATTGGAGGTCTAAGCCGTAAGTTGTATACTATAGCTGGAAGGAAACGGCAGTTCATAGGTGCATAGTGCGGATTTGTATGCTAATAATCTGTGTTGATGATAATTCCATTGGCTTCTTGTCTCAAATACACATACTTGAGATGTATGCTTCAACCTGGAAATTATATTAAATTTCAAAAATGAGAAAGAAAAGAAAATCGCTGGTTGGTGAAGTATTTTTCAACCAACAGGTGAGAAAATATGCCACAGTCAGGAATATTTATGAAACGTAAAGAAGATATTACATTGGTATTATTTTTCTATTTCCAGTCATTTAGATTTTATAAAAATTTATTTTGCGATCTCAAGTAGAAAATATAAATCAGACGCCTCCATATGAGGCACTGCGTAAATGTTTTGTGTGACACGTCATTCCTAAATTTTCTATGATATGAGTTAATTACAGACAACGCGGGCGCCGTGATGATTTCCCGAAATGCTTCTCAAAGTTTTTGAAGCGGCAGGAAAGTCCTAATTTGTAATTCTAAACATAAACTTTCTTCAGAAAGGATAACACACATAACTCATCTGGTAGAGCTAATAGATATACTTCACGGGCGGCATATTCAGTAATAATTTTCTCACAGCAAATATCACTGATTTTATACACATGCAGACCAATACACAATCATCCAGATCCGATAGAGATATACTCTACAGACCATCAAAACAAGCTAGGAACTGAACTATTTGCACACTAGGAATTATCTAATCGGCTAGTTAACATTTTGTCGTTTTTTTTACATTTTTTAGGTTTTTTACGTAAAAACCCGGCCGGTTAGAGCCGTCGAAATAAAGTTACCGTGTCTAGTATCCCTCTTGCGGGTTATGGTCTAGGATATACTACACTATTTTTGAAAATTCTTGAAGTTTCTAGCCATTCTAAACTGTAGTTGGCTGAAAAATGAACTGTGTGTCGCGGTTTTCAAGCTCTTATTTTTAGGTATTGTTAAGGGCATGGCTTTATACTGTTTTGATGAGATTTTTTGATTGTCAGAATTATTGTTCTTCGATGTGAACATTAATCATATTTTCCATAATTTTATTCTGTAAAAACGTGGTACTACTGCTAAGGCATAGGATTAATACAAAATTAAGGTCTACATGCTATCTAGTACTGGTTCTACTTTAAATGCTTGGCAACTATTTCATCAATATGACAATTATACAATATACACTTCAAGTCGTCGTATCTCCGTTCAATATTAACTTAATAGAACCACTAAAGTATGTGATCGGACGAGTTCAAATGTCACACAGATCGTGACGTCAATTCTTTTTATTATTGACTGTATAAATTGTTTGTTAACCATGAGCCTATATAATACCACACAGCAATATTAATACATCGGCGAGCTTTCGTCTGCTCTGTTGCCAATTGAAAGGGTTACTGCTTATTTTATTGATTGGGCTGATTGAAAGTCGAGCATGGAAGCTACTTTTTTAACAAAATTGATATTACGAGGCTGTTGCAACTGTTCCTATGCGAAGCGCCAGCTCTACAGGGTGTTACGAAACATGTCAGAATAAGATGGTAATTCCTCGAACTAATATTTAAAGTAACTAGTAGTATTTTGGAATGGCCGATCTTCAAGCTGAAAATAGTGTAGGTTTGTTTGATATAGATAAATTGAGCCGAATAGTTCTATCAGTTTTGATCCTGGACTTAGAATACTGCAATAATTTTAACGCAACCAGCGACCCAAGAAGGTCCTGGTCGATTAATCGACGCTTTGATTTATGCGAACCTCCGGGTTGCAGTGTGAATCAACTGAAACGGTTCATTTTTTCGAAATCAGAGAACACGTTTTTGGTGATAAAAGGGCTAAGCGATAATGAGGCTACTGCGTCCCGTTCCCAGCGATCTAAATCTGTTAAGCCTTTCGTGAAGAGCTTATTATGTGGGCTCCTAGCTGCTTCCTCAATTTAAATTATAGAGGAGCGCCCTTTAAGGGTCTGTATATTCATAGGGGACATTTTTTCATAGAAACCTTTGGCATAACTTTTTTGTGTTCTATATGTATACGAGAGATTGATATGTTATTCTGATACATCTTATAGAACGCAAAAATAACAAAAAATCTGCAATTTATCTAGTAATATGCATTCTCACTATTAAACGTCCCTTTGAGATCCCACCACATGCAATTTCGTAATATCGAAGGATCGTGTGACAGCAGGTGTCGGCGTACTGCCAGACTTCCGATGTATGCTAACCATTAAGAATGTTTGTACTTTGAAATACAAAAGGCTTTCGCGACCATCATCCAATACTATTTGGTTGGTTTTTGGGTTGTTAAACCGTCGTAAAACATTTTTACTTAACGTTTTGCCAACACGAGTGGTTGGCATCTTCAGAAGATGGTCACAGTTTGGAGTCCTATGATAGCTCACTCTGTACTCGTACTCCAAACTTGATAGTGTCACAAGTCAAAAAATGCATTCTACCACTCATGTTAAGTAAGGATTCCTCTATTTCATCAAATGTATCAGTTAAATAGCATTATGTAACTGACACTCAGAATCAAAATTAATTTTGTAACATTCGTTTTTGTGTAAGAGCCCTTGTTTGAATCCTGTAAAAGTACATTTTTTGAGTTCTGTCGCTATGTAAGCAAACGTGTCTCGTTACATACAATATATGTACATCAATCCATCTAAGAGCAATGCGCCGATCCCATCTTGTTTAGAAAAGCGTGCAGGTTTAATTATTTTTTCTAAGATTGCTTTCTCAAAAACCAGTTTTTTTTACGAAGAGGAAAATGATTTTCAAATAGACCATTTTTTTACTTATTGTCACATCCCTAGAATATCCTTCCTTATAGATATCGTCAAATAAACAAAACATAGGTAACGACGTGGCAACATTGTATTGATATGTTTTTCGTGTCGTGGGATCTGAGCGCAGCCTCTTCGTGGGTGTAATATCTTTATAAATTCGACCATCGGGTCAATTAATGTCGAAATCATTTTCGCCAAGATTGCCAATAAACTTTTCCGCCCATATGGTATATATTTCTGTGAACACAGGCCGTTATAATGCTGCGAATATAGGGTATAACAAAGTACGTGTGTGTAGGCAGTTGTTCTGTCACTTTCCGTTTTCCTTACGATTTTCATATATGTAAATGCTGGGGACTCAATTAAATGAATATTGAGAAAGAATAACTGGGATTACAGAGGCAAAGGTTGTCGCTACGAACTAGTCACCTTTGTGACAGATTCCATGGTAATCTATGAGCGACTTTGGTAATCCAAGCGGTCCAGCGATGCAGCACTTTTATGATGAATAGCATACATACCTTTGTCAGTTTGACAGCAGTTTTCACTTGGCTGTCAGGTTTGATGGTGTGTTGATTATATGTTGCGAATTGTCAAGGCTATTTTACGGCTAAAAACGCTGCACCGCTGGTCTGCTTTACGTTGATTGATAGCGCTCATTGATTCGTTAGGGACAGTACGACCTGTGCATGTTATTATGATGCATATACAGATTTTTCGTGTAACAAGCATCATACTTCATGCATTGTGAGCTTTTCAGTCTTTCAGAAGTGAATTCAGCATCCCGTTAACAGATTTAACAGATCTGTTACAAAAGTGAGCTAGTTCATAATGATAACCATTATCTTTCACACTTCCTCATTCTCGTCCCAACAAATACGTATAATACTGAATCGTTTGACAACAACATCCAGAAGTAATAGACATAGAGAAGTCTGGTCTCTTTCATAAGGCCCGGTTTTTCAATCGCAGGTTAACTACGACCTTGCTCTTAACTTATAGTTATTTATGAAAAAGCGTTTTTCAATATCATGTTTATGGTAAAACGGTAGTTAACTTTAACCAGAAGACCATCTATGAGTTAACTAGAAAGGCTGTAGTTAAATAGCAATGCCTGACGTTTCTTTGACATAAATTTAGACGTTTGTTCAAAAATCACAACCAATCCATATCAATCGATCGCTTAATTTAAGCTATAAACACGTTTATGAATTACGATGTGAATGCGTACAGCAGTGATAAAGACGGAAGAAGGCCAAAAATAATCTGCCATCGGCCAAATTACTTTGATGACCTTGATTTCCTTGCAAGATTTCGCCTTTCAAAAAATACTGTTGAAACTCTCCTGGACGAAGTCTATGAAGATTTAGTATATCCTACAAGCAGGTAGAAGTATATATTATTGTTTATTTCCATATTTCTACATGACTTTGTTATTCCAGGAATAACTGCTTAACGCCCCAACAGCAGCTGTTGTTAGCACTGCGCTATTACGCCAATGGATTTTTTTTTAACTGTTGCTGGTGATTTTGCTGGAGTTTCCAAATCAACTGCATCTTACTAATAATTATTTTGCATATTTGTAAATCGATTCAATACTTTCACTGATGCTCAGTGAATGACTCGATACTAGATGAAAGTTGTTTGGTATAAGATCTGTGATAATCCATGGCAAGTGGATAAGAGTTGTGGCCAAAATTGTTGTTGCCCAAAAAAGGTGCACACTGCATTTGAAAAAAGATGTCCCAAGCCTCAAAATGGACACTCATTCGATCTTTTTGGACCCGCCATAGCTCTCATCTACTTGACGTATGAATTATCCCCTATTCCTTGTAACTACAGAATCAAAATAAACATGATTTTCTGAAAACAGTTTATTATTAAAATAGCATATTATCCTCAAAAATGCGAAAGAAATACAAAAAAAAAATGAGTGAAAGTGAAAATATTCCAGAAATTGACAAAAGAAAGCCTTTGTTTTCTACTTATATAATGCATTGATCTGTAAATCGAACAGCTGAACCTTTTTTGATATATTTCCATTTGTGTTCTTCAATGAATTTTTCTATTTTCTAATTTCACAAAATTCAGCTTTTCTTCCATTAGTAGATAGTTAACTGAAATATATTTTTTATTTTGTTCCGTTTTCGTACATGATAGCTTTCTAGTTTTGGGCCTCTTCAGTTGTTGGGGAGTATAGGAGCTCCATTTCCCATTATCGAAGACCACTTCACTGTCATCAGTTCTTTGCATCACGAACTAAAAAATGGATAATTAAAAAATGCTTCAATCAACAGCAATGAGACTTGCCATGTCCAATAACCAGCTCTTCTTGGTCACTACAGTCATCATCATAATTGTTTGTCAAAGCTTTTAATTGTGGTCCCATTATTTCTTGTAACTGTGTATCAATCAAATCGAATGCTTGTAATTGGCATGAACTTCCCCCTGTTTTGATTATATTGCTTTTGTTTGTAGCAAATTTGCTTTTTGTTTTTTTCTTTAAATTGAAACATTTATCTCGTAGATTTTTTGCTTCTCGGTGGCACCCTGATAGGGCTTGGAATTCTTGTTCGATGCTCTGCCATACTGAAACTTTTCTGTTCCCACGTAACTGTGGCACTTGTTTTGCTCTATTACATCTTTATTTTTAATCACCAATGTTATGAGCATCATTTCTTCATTCTTCCAGAAATTTTGAGCTCTCTTTTTGATCTCTTTCTCCTTGCTAGAAAACAGTTTTTTAGAAATTTTAGCAACAAGAATGTGTGTCCCCTTTATTTTTGGATTGTAGATTGTAGGAGTGATGTTAAAAAAGGTGGAAAATACGATATTTAGCAGATATTCACAACTTAATTGTTTTTTGACCTTAGTGTTCATTGGACATTGCATTTGCAACCTTTTATATCACCATTTCTATAACGCCGTCTATAGGTTCTACTTCTAAACATTTGTACGAGCAATGTTGGAAAAAACTTACCTTGCTCCACGAAGGTTTTACGTTTTATTCGTTTTTAGTGAAATTTCCGGATTTCGATTTTGACTGTTTTAAGAAATTTCATTCAATCGAATTGTCATGTATAACGTATGACACGGGACACAGATGCATAAATATATGTTGAACTTCTGGTAAGTCAACTGACGCTGTCAAAATACTTGAAAAACGCATTTGCAAGTAACTACAAGTTAACTTCCTGGCGATAGTTAACTAACCAAAAAGTTAACTTGCGATTGAAAAACCGGGCCTAAGATTAGAACTATTGATTCTCAATAGGCAGAGGGACCTTTGGATCTTGCGATACAGTATGATAAGTTTCCAATATTGTACGTGTAACGGGATCCGAGCCTGATCTTCACCATCGGCTTGCGCAGTTGTACTAGTGAGACTATGGTTGAAAATTACATATCCACAACAAAGCCTTATACATATACATATAGAGGGCAATACGAGTATACGGTAAGCCCAGCGTCTCGCTTATTATTAATAGGCAAGACCCTGGCAAAATGAACACCTTAAGGACTGTGCTATTATCACAGGAATTTTAATAAGTATATAAAGAACTAAGGAAAGTATCAGAATTGATTCTATACCTAATTATCCGTTTTCAAAAAATAAACAGTAATTATTTGTGAGTTGTAGCTATTTAGTATGCATATTACAAGAAACAAAACGGTGCAGCTTATTCACTTGCCCGGGTCCCCAGGGTAAAGCGGTTACAGAGATCGTTCAAAGTGGACACATATTTCAATTGATTAAGAGTTCAATTTCATATGAAATAGACTAGAAATCAAGCATCAGTGCTCTCAAACTCCAAAAATTTATCACAGCTGTTCATTTTGGCGAATCTCAGTTCTGCGTGAATTGATGAGGTCGTACTGCATCTTCCGACCGATACCCATAATTTGTTTTCTTTTCATATTAATATATCATACGGAGCATATAAACAATAAAACTAAGCGTACGGATTTAGTTTATCCACTTGGCCCATATCCGCTTTGCCCCATGCCACTTGCTTTGGAACTATCTTGATTTCCATCAAAACTATCGATTCTTTCAATATGATTTGTATAACTAGGAAAGCTCATTAAACATGCGTCGGATATCTAACAAAGTATACTAGAGAAATATTACAAAACTGGAATTATAAGCACAACATTTAATTTGCAAAATAAATTTTTCCCTTAAAAAATGACAATTTATTGTCTGCTAGTCAAATAAACAGGTTTTTTCTCCTAAAACTGCTTGACGATTATTAAAGAAAGATTGACGAGCATGTGTATATATTCGGCTACGATGCACGTCTCAGTTTGCATATAATCAGTTATATTCGCTTTGCCCGAGTCTTCCCTATCCACGTGTTTAATGTCAACCTGCTTGACAGTAGTGTTTTGTCCACACTGATACAACACCTCGCAGATAACTGTAGTTATGAAGTGAATTATGCTTATTTTTGAAAACCGGCTGTAGCATGACCATTTTCAATAAAACACGCTTTACTACTGCATAGAAAACACGTAACATCAGCGTGATGTAAAAGATGTCACCAATCGATAAAGTGGTCGATGATACGAGTAGTAGGTTCATAGATTACCCACCTTATCGCACACAGACAGGATTTACGTACCATATACCTACACTTCTTGATTTCTTCATTTTGGTTCAGGTTTACAGTTATACACCATCAGCGCCATAAAATTTCATAGGAATAAATGTTATAGGAGTTGGTACGAGTATGCTAACCGTTCCTCTTATCTTGCTAAGTACGAATTGGAATATTTACCCGCTAAGGATGCAAAATGTCGAGCGAATTGGCGATAGGATAGTAAGTATAACCGGGAATGTTGTATTTGATTCGTTGAAATGTGATTCTTATGCATCAGATTTGTCCACAGAACACCGGCAAATGATGATATTTCGTTTGCTACTAAAACTTGAAGGTAACATACAGTCGTTGGGCTAAGATTTTTTTATTTGGGGATTTGATTCTAAGGGCGTACAGTTTTTTTCTGAAAAAAATCCATCTTGATCTAAAAGTGTCAAAAATGTCTTGAATGCAATCTTCTTCACGTAGATCATACGTCATAAATATGTCATCGACCTATGCAACGATTCTCTTAAAAATTCTCGAGTGCCCATGTAACTCAAGAAGAATTGTTCCTGGTATATGATGAATTGAAGCTGGAAATACATACACATTTTGGAAGGCTTTTGATGATTAAGAAGCTTCAAACTCAATAGCAGCATAGCATTTATTACACGAAGATATTGATTTCCCTGTATAACATATTTGGACTAAATCTCTTTTTAAAAAATCTTACATTTTCATATAAACTTTTGTCCAGTACTTTGGAAGCATCCTGCAATTATCATCATCATATCTCTCAGATGTATTTGATTTCTCGAATATATCGAAGGACATTATTATGGAGAAGTAAAAGATGACGATAGTGGTTTCCTGAAATGGCACCAAGCTTTTACGAGATTTAGGAAATATCCTGTATATTTGGCCAAATTCAGCAAAACCGAAAGAGAAGCTTTTCATAACATCATATCTAGTCACATTTTTTACTGTATTATGCACTAAATACAGGGTGACCCCTATGTAACTGACTGGTTTGTATCTTGAATATTTGTAAATGAAATAAAATAAGTACATTTTTTCCATATTAATCTTTTATGGAAGCTTAGAAATTATGTATGAAAAATAATATTAAACAAATGTTCGCCTCTAAAATTGTTGTTCTTCAGCTGCAGTTATGCACCATATCACGGTAGTGCTCGCCAATGACAGTAAAAAAATTAACTGCAGCGTCTTCAAAGAAGTAAGGTCCAATGACACCTCCATACCAAACACCGCACCAAACTGTGACTCGACGAGGATGTAGTTGTCGTTGATGGATGACACGAGGGTTCTCTAATGCCAGATACGACAATTCTGCTTATTATCAAATCCATTCGTATCGAAGTGGGATTCATCGTACATTATCAGTTGTCGGTAGAAATCGTTATTTTGGGTATCAAGCTGCGATATTGCATGACTGTATTGTCGGATACTTTCATGGTCACTAGGCTGTAGTTCTTGGGTTAACTGAATTTTGTATGCCGAAAATGCAAGTCTTTTTTTAAAATAGTGCATAATGACGTGCGACGAATACCCAGTTCTTGAGAACGATGTCTGGTAAACGTCTCAGGGCGCTCCACGACACTTTCACGAACTCGATATTTTCCGGAGTACAAACAGTTCGAATACGGCCCGACCTTGACAAATCTGTTTGTTCAAATTTCCGGACCAACTGACGAATGGTGTTGACACTGGGCACATTATTTCGACCGAAATCTTGTCGTAGCTTCCGAATCGTTTCAACAATCGACTCATGATCTAAGTAAAACGTTTTAACAATACGGACGCGTTGTGGGATCGTGTAGCGCTCCATGATGAGTTGGACACATGTGCTTTAAACAACTACTGCGGCACTACCCACTGAAATGCGTGTGTTAAAAATCGCGCGTAGTTAGTTATATATTGGTCACAGTGTAGCAGTTATATCTGCTCTAACTACAACAAATAAATGTAAATTGTCGTTTTCAGTTCGAAAGCTTCGGGGTATGAGAGACTTGTCAACTAGACTGTATATACAAAAGCTCGTGCAATATTCGAAATAGAGCATGTAACCTTCCAGATCCCGATATGTCACAGAATCTTCAAATATTTTCCCTGCTTTGAAATTCGTATCGGTCAGGGTTCCGGTGCAACATCAGTATAACTTTTTCATAAAATTACAATTTGTAATCGGACAGCTACAAATGAGGCTCATTGAGAATGCAGTCAAAATTCGCGCGGTTGCATTTTAAGCGAACTCGAGGACCTTGGTTATGTAAGCAATGACCTGTTTTTGATTTATGGCATCTATCAAACGATGATAGTCCAACTGTTATTGGACTCATTTGTTGAGCCTTGTTTTAGCATTTGTGACGAATTAGTATTTCTCAACGATACGCAAAAACTTCATCTGGGATCATTGCATTCCCCAGTCGACATTATAGCATAATGTTACAAGTTAATTTGAGGAACTTCAAAAGGTTTCGTATTTAAATTTGCCGCATATTTTCAACGACCTGACTTACGCATTTTATATTACGTGTGTACCATCTAGAAGGACTTATTGATAAAATAAATTCTGTACTTCCAAGATAATTAGGTCATATATCTCAAAAATAAGGACCAACCGACTTAAGCAAGAGGATGAGTATTCTGATCCTCTGGATATCAAGGCTGAAGTACTGAAGGAGGTTTTTTAGGTCCAGTTCTTCTTTAGATCTATTCAGTTCTGTTAGCAAAGTACATCCTGATACCAACAATCTGGTGAAATGATTCCAGATATGTAAAATCAAACGAAAGAATCGAAATCTATCCAAGTTTGCTTTACGAACCAAATATTGGCGAGCGTTTATTTCAGCATCATACCATTGGTGCCAAACGCAAAAGGTCCAGGCTCATGAGGAAGCTCCCTATCAAAAAAGAGGGATGAACCTCTGCTATAAACAATCTTATTGGTTATTTGTTGGGGAGATCCGTGAAAATTATTTCATAACAAAACATAATCTTGATCAGATCTTAAAGCCTGTGTGGCTCTATGGTTGTCAACTATGGGGCTATTCTGAAAATTCGAACAAAGTTTTGAGGAACAAGGTCAATGCCCCTTGTTATGTTCGTAATAGGAATATTCATCGCGATTTGAATGTCCCTCTGGTTATCGACAAGATCAAGAAAATAGCAGCCAGGAACGAAGAAAAGCAACATAAATATCCCCATGTGAAAGTTCTTCTGTTGCTGTACAACCACAATGCTGTCCTACGACAACGGCGGATTCAGGATTTCGTCTAGGGGGGGCGCAAACGATATTTGGGGCCGGTCATTTTCTAACCTCAGTGGAACTTCTAGAATTTATCATATTATTGCTCCTTCAATCCATTGTGTTCTATCTAGTCTAGGCCATCTTGAAAAAAAAAACATGGAAATTGTTCAGAAATCCTCAGAAAGCCAATATTTTATTATATGAGAACAAAATAACTACGTGGCATTT